GAGCCTTTGGGATTTTTCTTGTAGCTTTCCATGTTCATGTTTTAGGACTTTGCCTCGTACTTATGGGACTTGGCCTTGCCTGTGCCTTCATGGATCTTGTTTGCCTATGTTACCTTGGATTGATCTTTTGGAAATATACTTTTGCTTTCGAACTTTTTATCCTTTATTTTAATAAAACTACAAAGACAACTGCTGGTGTGTTCTTTGGTGTCCTAAGCAAGGTGGTTCTACTCGCACTGAAAGTAAAGCCAGAATCCACAACACTTAGACTAAGAACTGTATCCAAACGAGATTCCCCAATCCCAAACAGGAAAATGTGACATGAAATCAAGGCCAGAATTTCTGTTCACGGAAGGAAAATATGACTTTCTTCTGAAAGTGCAAAGTTGTTCTCACACAGAGCAATCCAAGGGGTCAGCTTAAGAAACCAAATTGGCTCCCAGGGAGACACTATCTATCTAACACCTGGAATCCCTCTGTTTATCTTTCAAACACTGGGAAAACCTTAATTGCCTCTGCTTGGCACTATCTCACTGTAATTGAAGATGTTTTTTGAATGTTTGCCTTTTATGTTTAGAATCCGCCCTGAGTCCCTTTGGGGAGATAGAGCGGAATATAAATAAAGTATTATTATTATTTTATTATTACTCTGAGGTGCGACACCCTCTTGCCATATTCCTATGAATTCATATGATTTTCTCCAATCTTTATGGAGTTTTGATGAACTTTGGAGGGAAGGAAGGCTGACATGGTTCCCCTTTGACTGCATGATCTATCCCTTATGAATTCCTTGTATGTTCCCCTTCCCCATGTCATTGTATGTCAGTGTGTCTATATTTTGAAAAATGAAGGAAAAACCATTGTTTCATAAGACCAGCAACTCTCATGGCTCAGGAAGTCCTTCCACGACCCCTGAGCTGGTAATCCCTTCACAAAAGGTTTCGCCAAGCCCACTTGCATGGACAATAAATAAATAGCTCTTGTCAAAACCAGACCTCAGAGGACAAGGCCAGACCACCTGGAGGGATAGGATCTATGGACATTTTAATCATCCAATGCAAAAGGCATCTTCCTGTCTGCGAGGAACCAGGAAGTTTGCTATAGCCTCTCAAGAAGGAAAGACCACCAGCAATGAAGCGATGGTCCTCCGCCATCAACCCCGCTGGACCGGCCACGTTGTCCGGATGCCCGACCACCATCTCCCAAAGCAGTTGCTCTACTCCGAACTCTAGAACGGAAAGCGGAATGTTGGTGGGCAGGAAAAGAGATTGAAAGATGGGCTGAAAGCCAAACTAAAAAACTCTGGCATAGACACTGAGAACTGGGAAGCCCTGGCCCTTGAGCACTCCAGCTAGAGGTCAGCTGTGGCCAGCAGTGCTGCAGAATTTGAAGAGGCATGAATGGAGAGAAACATGCCAAGAAAGAGAGAAACGTGCTAAGAGGAAGGCATGTCAAACCAACCCCGACCGAGAGCGCCTTTCACCTAGAAACCAATGCCCTCACTGTGGGAGAAGATGCAGGTCAAGAATAATGCTCCACAGCTACCTACGGATCCACAAGAATACTGATCCTGGAAGACTATCCTACTTGTCCAACGAGGGATCGCCTAAGTAAGTAAGTAAGTAATCCTAACCAGCTGAAACCAACCCCAAACTTCAATGGACTCCATATCCCAGGACTGTAAAAACAAAGGGCGTGGCCTCTAGGGGCTAGACCAAGACATTAATCCAAAGAACCAAACAATCACCTTGGCTAGGCTTGAGAGCCTAAAGGTTATCACCCAGCCATTTGGCAAACATTGGTCATCTTAATCCAGTCAGCTAGACATTTCTTTGTCTCCCTGTTGCCTGCCTCCCTCCCTTCCACCTCATTGGCTGAGAGGCCAAAGCAGGGCTCAGGCCACCATTGGCTCTCCTGCTGGCTTGCTGACATCACAGCCAATCATAACAAAGCTAGCTTGGAGGGGGGGGGAGAAGGGTGGCCATGGGAACTTTTGAATCTGAAGTCTATAAATATTGTATCTTGTTGCCCAGTGAGCATGTTGATTTTGTTGGCAGATTACTGCAACCATCATCCTTTCCAGCTGGAATGAAATAAAAGCCTCAGTGGCTATCTCTTCAACTTGGTGAGATTTATTCTGTAATATTGGCTTCTCTTTCTCACCAGGCAACCCACAATGGCTTGGGCCTATCCACAGCCATTCTAAAATGCTCGACAACACCGAGATCAAGTTTGCAGGTGGGACCAAATTGGGAAAGACAGCTGGTGCCGCAGAGGGTATAGGGTCAGGAGCCAAAGGAACCTTAATAGATTAGAGAGCGGATTGGCCAAAAGTATCAAAATGGATTGCCACAGGAGAAATGTATTGTTCTACATTTAGGGAGAAAAAATGAAATGCACAGACACCTGGCTTGGAAACACTCTGTGTGGAAGGTGCCTTAATAGACCACAAACTGAACAAGTGTTTTGCAGTAGCTTAGAAACCCAAAGCCATTCTAGGCTGCATCATAGTCCTGGCCGCCCTCCATTCTGCTTTGGTCAAGGCTCACCCAGAAGAACCCTGTGTCCAGTTCTGGGCACCATAACGGAAGATATGGATGTTGACAAGCAAGAATGTGCCCAGAGAAGAGCAACCCAAATGGTCAAAGGCCTGGAAAGCAAGGCTTATGAGGAACAGCTTTGTTAGCTGTTTGCTCCCTTTGGAGAAGACTGAGGCCGGATCTACACTGCCCTCTATCCCAGGATTTGATTCCAGATTATCTGCTTTGAAGTGGATTATATGAGTCTACACTACCAGATAATCTGGGATTAGATCCTGGGATTTAGAGCGGTGTAGAAGGGGCCTTAGAGGTGATGTGATGGAGTTGGGACGGAGCTTGTTCTCTGCCACACAAGAAACCAAGACATGAGCCAAGACTTCACATTTCAGGAAAAGGGGGCTCTTCCTAAACCCTTGGAAGCTGTTTGATCCCTGGGGAGTGGTGTGTCAGTGTATGTTGTTGTATGTAATGTGTTTTAAATGTAATTTCATGCAGTAGAAATATGGTTGCCACAAGATTGTACTGCTATGATGTATGTTTATGTTTGAGGCTGTGAGAAAGTAACCCTGAGACACCCTCTGTGTGGAGTTGTGAGAAAATTAGGGAGTGTCTGGTATCTGCCAAGCAGCTGCAGAATTGTTTACACTTCAACTTCCTTTGTCCTGCGTACTGTGTATTTCATGTGTACTTCATGCATCAATAGGAGCCTAGTGTCTAGATCTAAGGAAGTAATGCTAGCCCTCTATTCTGCTTTGGTTAGACCACCCCTGGAATATTGTGTCCAATTCTGGGCACCACAATTCAAGAGAGATATTGACAGCTGGAATGTGTCCAGAGGAGGGCGACTGAAATGATCAAGGGTCTGGAGAACAAGCCCTATGAGGAGCGGCTTAAGGAGCTGGGCATGTTTAGCCTGAAGAAGAGAAGGCTGAGAGGAGATATGATAGCCATGTATAAATATGTGAGAGGAAGCCACAGGGAGGAGGGAGCAAGCTTGTTTTCTGCTTCCTTGGAGACTAGTATGCGGAACAATGGCTTCAAACTACAAGAGAGGAGATTCCATCTGAACATGAGGAAGAACTTCCTGACTGTGAGAGCCGTTCAGCAGTGGAACTCTCTGCCCCGGAGTGTGGTGGCGGCTCCTTCTTTGGAGGCTTTTAAACAGAGGCTGGATGGCCATCTGTCAGGGGTGATTTGAATGCAATATTCCTGCTTCTTGGCAGGGGGTTGGACTGGATGGCCCATGAGGTCTCTTCCAACTCTTTGATTCTATGATTCTATGATTCTATGTCTGGTCGCTTACTGTAATGGATGTGTTTTGGAACTACTCTAAGTAAATTGAACCTACTTTGTAACCAGACGTCTCCAGATTCCATGTTTTCTTCTAAGCTTGTGCAAAACTTCCACTAACGCTAACAGCGTGGGCTTCAGGCAGGAACTGGGTGACCATCTTGCAGAAGTGCTTTAGCTGAGTCTTCCCTGATGGCAGAGTGGGGTTGGACCAGATGCCCTTTTGGGTCCCTCCCAACGTTGTGATCCTTTGAGGTGGCATCCATGCCCGAAGGCCACCTCAAAGGACCACAGCCCCGTCCACCTCCCTTGTGAAACAATTGCTGCTGTTTTGAGTTGTGAGGTGTGATTTTGCTTTGATGCACACTGTATTTTGAGACTGGCTTTATTTTGGAAACCTTTTTATTTAAGCTCTCTGAAGAAGGCTTAGGTCTGAGAGGAGCCCTAGAGGAACCCGGCCACTCCGCCTTTCGAAGGCCGAGGGAGCGAGTGAGGGCTCTGCCGTGGCTCAGGACAAACTTCAGTGCAAACCGGAAGAGGTGGAAAGTGGTCGTTCATGGACAGCTGAAGGGGTTGCGCTGTGTTGCTTCGCCCCCAGGACAGGGAGGCCGTGGTCATTTCCAGACACCTGAGAGATTTGGGTGGGATTTTGGAACCCCTGCCAGGTGAATGACCCATTCTAGAGTGGAAGGTCCTGGGCCACCCACAACACTTTCCACCAGTCCTGGGCACTGCTCGCTCTGTGAACTCGGGCAAAGGCGATGTTGACCAGAAGGGATGGATGAATGGACATATGGATGAGGGAAGGGCTCTCAGGGCGTGGGGCTTCCTTCGACTTGCTTCCAGGTGAAGCCCAGATGGAATTTCCTAGGAAGCCACTGAGAAATGTGCCAAGTCTGAGTGTGTGGCATGGGGGCCGAACCTCCTTCAGACCTCTGCAGCTGGTAATCTGGGCTGAGAGATGGATGCCCAACACAAGTGGGCAGGAGACCAGGGCCAAGGGCACCCCAGAACCCGAGAGAAAGCAAGAGCACAGAAGGAAGCAGATTTCCAGCGGAAGCAGCATCATAGCTTGTGTCCTTGGTTCACATTCACAACGGGAGACAGGCAGCATCTCAGCCAGGATCACTGGGGCCAAAGGAAGCCCCAGCGACAATGTCCAAGGGATCATGGGTAGGTGCCGCGGTCTGACCAGCAGAGCTTCCCTTTCATGCAGGACATCTTCTTCCTCACGCCCCGCTTTCCCCGCTTGCTCTCGGCCTCTTCAATCATGGCGGTGATCGTGGAGACCATCTCGTGGAGGGCCAGCGTCCCCGCTCTGTACTCCTCAAGTAGCTCTTGCCGCTTGTCCTGCGGGACATATTTGGAGAACAGGAGGTCCAGCACACACACCCTCTGGCCCTTGAACTCACCCACTGACATGGGGACCAAGGTGGTCCGCAGGGACCTCTTCAGCTGCTGCTGCCGGGCCCTCAGCTCCTCCTGGGCCTCCCCGTCTCCACTTTCCTCCACCAAGCCCCCCTCGGCAGCACTGCCAGGCTCCTCTGCCTTTGTCCTTTCAGTTTCTATGATGACGTTGGTGAGGAGGTTGACCAGATCTGGAACATGGAGGTCTTCTCCTCTGAGTCTGCTGAGAAGTTCCTGCTTCTTTTCTTCTGAGATGTATTTGGAAGAGAGGACGTCCCAGCAAGACATCTGTTGCCCCTCAAACTCACCAATGGGCACCACGAAGCTCTCTGACCGCAGTGCATCTTCCAAAGAGGAAGACTCAGGTGAGGAAATATTCTGAATTGTGTCCAATGATCTTGCCTCCTCTCTGGGGCTGCTACAACAAATAGCTTTGCTGGAACTCTCCTCCTCTGTTCTGTTGACGATGGAGGTGACTACGGTTTCCATTTGGTCAATGCCGAGGATGCCAGATTTGTAGAGTTTCAAGAGCTCCTTCCGCTTCTCCTCAGGGATGTACTTGGAGTGGAGGACCTCCCAGATGGAAACCTTCTGTCCGTGGAACTCCCCAGCCGCCACTGTAACCAGACGGGACTTCAGGGCCTCCTCTTTCTCTCCCAGCTCCACAGGATCCTCCTCGTCCTCTAACTCATCTTTGCCAAGTGCCTCATTGTCATTATCCACATCATCAGTGTCTCTGGTTGTGTCAGGTGTCGTGTGGTGCTTCTCTTCTCCGACTGTAGACTCTGCAAGGAGGCCACTGACAATATTGGTGAGTTCCTCTGGATTCAGGTTGCCGTTTCGGTGTTGTCTCAGAAGTTCTTCTCGCTTCTCCTCAGGGATGTACTGGGAGAAGAGAAGATTCCAGAGGGGCATCTCCTGGCCCTGGAACTCACCAACATTCAGGATAACTGTGTGATTCCGCAAAGTGTCTTCCCATTGGTCCTCATGACTGTGGGGGGCACCCGAGTCTTCTTTTCTCTTTTCCTCCTCTGTTCTGTTGACGATGGAGGTGACTACGGTTTCCATTTGGTCAATACTGAGGATGCCAGATTTGTAGAGTTTCAAGAGTTCCTTCTGTTTCTCCTCAGGGATGTACTTGGAGTGGAGGACCTCCCAGATGGAAACCTTCTGTCCATGGAACTCCCCAGCCGCCACTGTAACCAGGCGGGACTTCAGGGCCTTCTCTTTCTCTCCCAGCTCCACAGGATCCTCCTCGTCCTCTAACTCATCTTTGCCAAGTGCCTCATTGTCATTATCCACATCATCAGTGTCTCTGGTTGTGTCAGGTGTCGTGTGGTGCTTCTCTTCTCCGACTGTAGACTCTGCAATGAGGCCACTGACAATATTGGTGAGTTCCTCTGGATTCAGGTTGCCGTTTCGGTGTTGTCTCAGAAGTTCTTCTCGCTTCTCCTCAGGGATGTACAGGGAGAAGAGAAGATTCCAGAGGGGCATCTCCTGGTCCTGGAACTCACCAACATTCAGGATAACTGTGTGATTCCGCAAAGTGTCTTCCCATTGGTCCTCATGACTGTGGGTGGCAGCCGACTCTTCTTTTCTCTTTTCCTCCTCTGTTCTGTTGACGATGGAGGTGACTACGGTTTCCATTTGGTGAATACTGAGGATGCCAGATTTGTAGAGTTTCAAGAGCTCCTTCTGTTTCTCCTCAGGGATGTACTTTGAGTGGAGGACCTCCCAGATGGAAACCTTCTGTCCATGGAACTCCCCAGCCGCCACTGTAACCAGATGGGACTTCAGGGCCTCCTCTTTCTCTCCCAGCTCCACAGGATCCTCCTCGTCCTCTCCCTCCTCTTTGTCAAGTGCCTCTTTGTCATTATCCACTTCATCAGTGTCTCTGGTTGTGTCAGGTGTCATGTGGTGCTTCTTCTCTCCGACTGTAGGCTCTGCAAGGAGGCCATTGACAATATTGGTGAGTTCCTCTGGATTCAGGTTGCCGTTTCGGTGTTGTCTCAAAAGCTCTTCTCGCTTCTCCTCTGGGATGTACTGGGAGAAGAGGAGATTCCAGAGGGGCATCTCCTGACCCTGAAACTCACCGACATTCAGGATAACAGTGTGATTCCGCAATGCGTCTTCCCATTGGTCCTCATGACCGTGCCCAGCACCCGAGTCTTCTTTTCTCTTCTCCTCCTCTGTTCTGTTGACGATGGAAGTGACCACAGTTTCCATTTGGTCAGTACTGAGGATGCCAGATTTGTAGAGTTTCAAGAGCTCCTTCTGCTTCTCCTCAGGGATGTACTTGGAGTGGAGAACCTCCCAGATGGAAACCTTCTGTCCGTGGAACTCCCCGGCGGCTACTGTAACCAGACGGGACTTCAGGGCCTTCTCTTTCTCTCCCAGCTCCACGGGATCCTCCTCTTCCTCTCCCTCCTCTTTGCCAAGTGCATCATCATCATCATCCCCATCATCAGTATCTCTGGTTGTCTCTGGTGTTGTATGGTGCTTCCTCTCTTCAACTTTTGTCTCTGCAAGGAAGCTACTGAGGATATTGGCGAGTTCCTCGAGACTCAGGTTGCCGTTTTGGTGTTGTCTCAAAAGCTCTTCTCGCTTCTCCTGTGGGATGTATTGAGAGAAGAGGAGATTCCGGAGGGGCATTTCCTGACCCTGGAACTCACCAACATTCAGTATAACAGTGTGATTCCGCAAAGCGTCTTCCCACTGGTCCTCATGACTGTGGGCAGCTCCTGGTTCTTCTTTTCTCTTCTCCTCCTCTGTTCTGTTGACGATGGAAGTGACTACGGTTTCCATTTGGTCAGTGCTGAGGATGCCAGATTTGTAGAGTTTCAAGAGCTCCTTCTGCTTCTCCTCAGGGATGTACGAGGAGTGGAGAACCTCCCAGATGGAAACCTTCTGTCCGTGGAACTTCCCAGCTGCTACTGTAACCAGACGGGACTTCAAGGCCTTCTCTTTCTCTCCGAGCTCCACAGGATCCTCCTCATCCTCTCCCTCCTCTTGGCCAAGTGCATCATCATCATCATTATCCCCATCATGAGTATCAATGCTTGTCTCTGGTGTTGTATGGTGCTTCCCCTCTTCAACTTTTGCCTCTGCAAGGAGGCCACTGAGGATATTGGCGAGTTCCTCAGGATTCAAGCTGCCGTTTCGGTGTTGTCTCAGAAGCTCTTCTCGCTTCTCCTCTGGGATGTACTGGGAGAATAGGAGATTCCAGAGGGGCATCTCCTGACCCTGGAACTCACCGACATTCAGGATAACAGTGTGATTCCGCAATGCGTCTTCCCATTGGTCCTCATGACCGTGCCCAGCACCCGAGTCTTCTTTTCTCTTCTCCTCCTCTGTTCTGTTGACGATGGAAGTGACCACAGTTTCCATTTGGTCAGTYCTGAGGATGCCAGATTTGTAGAGTTTCAAGAGCTCCTTCTGCTTCTCCTCAGGGATGTACTTGGAGTGGAGAACCTCCCAGATGGAAACCTTCTGTCCGTGGAACTCCCCGGCGGCTACTGTAACCAGACGGGACTTCAGGGCCTTCTCTTTCTCTCCCAGCTCCACGGGATCCTCCTCTTCCTCTCCCTCCTCTTTGCCAAGTGCATCATCATCATCATCCCCATCATCAGTATCTCTGGTTGTCTCTGGTGTTGTATGGTGCTTCCTCTCTTCAACTTTTGTCTCTGCAAGGAAGCTACTGAGGATATTGGCGAGTTCCTCGAGACTCAGGTTGCCGTTTTGGTGTTGTCTCAGAAGCTCTTCTCGCTTCACCTCTGGGATGTATTGAGAGAAGAGGAGATTCCGGAGGGGCATTTCCTGACCCTGGAACTCACCGACATTCAGGATAACAGTGTGATTCCGCAAAGCGTCTTCCCATTGGTCCTCATGACTGTGGGCAGCTCCTGGTTCTTCTTTTCTCTTCTCCTCCTCTGTTCTGTTGACGATGGAAGTGACCACGGTTTCCATTTGGTCAGTGCTGAGGATGCCAGATTTGTAGAGTTTCAAGAGCTCCTTCTGCTTCTCTTCAGGTATGTACTTGGAGTGGAGAACCTCCCAGATGGAAACCTTCTGTCCATGGAACTCCCCGGCGGCTACTGTAACCAGACGGGACTTCAGGGCCTTCTCTTTCTCTCCAAGCTCCACAGGATCCTCCTCTTCCTCTCCCTCCTCTTTGCCAAGTGCATCATCATCATCATCATCCCCATCATCCGTATCTCTGGTTGTCTCTGGTGTTGTATGGTGCTTCCCCTCTTCAACCTTTGCCTCTGCAAGGAGGCCACTGAGGATATTGGCGAGTTCCTCAGGATTCAAGCTGCCGTTTCGGTGTTGTCTCAGAAGCTCTTCTCGCTTCTCCTCTGGGATGTACTGGGAGAAGAGGAGATTCCAGAGGGGCATCTCCTGACCCTGGAAGTCACCAACATGCAGGACAACAGTGTGATTCCGCAAAGTGTCTTCCCAGTGGCTCTCATGACCATGCCCAGCACCCGACTCTTCCTTTCTCTTCTCCGCCTCCGTTCGGTTAACTATGGCAGTGACTACGGTTTTCATTTGGTCAGTGCTGAGGATGCCAAATTTGTAGAGTGTCAAGAGCTCCTTCCGCTTCTCTTTAGGGATGTACTTGGAGTGGAGAACCTCCCAGATGGAAACCTTCTTTCCGTAGAACTCCCCAGCTGCTACTGTCACCAGACGGGATTTCAGGGCCTTCCTTTTCTCTCCAAGCACAACAGTATCCTTGTTGTCCTCCTCTCCCTCCTCTTTGTCAATGGCATCATCATCATCATCATCATCCAAAAGTCTGGACACTTCAGATGCTGAAGGTTGCTCCACCTTTCCAGCTTTGGCTTCTGCAAGGAGGCTACTGAGGATGTTGCTGAGCTCCTCCAACGTCAGGCTGCCCTTTCGGAATTGGTTCAGGAGCCCTTCCCGCTTTTCCTGAGGAATGTCCTGGGAGTGAAGGAGATCCCAGAGAGAGACTTCATGGTTCTGGAATCTACCAACATTCAGGACCACAGTGTGATTCTGCAAAGTATCTCTCCAGTGGTCCTCAAGTGCATGGGATTCTTCTTCCGTCTCCTCCCCTTCTGTTCGGTTGACTAGGGCAGTGACTGCAGTTTCCATTTGGTCGATGGTGAGAATGCCTAAGTTGTAGAGCTGCAAGAGCTTCTTTTTCTTCTCCTCTGGAATATGATCAGAATGGAGTCCATCCCACAATGAAACGCCTTCCTTGCAGAAGCTGTCTGTAGGCAGGTGGATCAGCCTCGATTTCAGGGTAAGCTCTGTTCCATCTTGGTGTTCTGTCTCAGATGCTCTGGCTGTTTGTGGTGCCATTTGGGTTTCCATAACAGTAAATTCATTTCTTTCTGGCCTGGTGGCTTGGTCTTCAGTGTCTGTCATAAGAGTTGTAATGCTTTTAACGCATTCCTTCACACTCACTGTTGGTGATCCGTGTCGGTGCAAAACTTCCTCCTTCTTGAAATTAGAGACACACTGTGAAAAGTAAGGATCCCAGAGAGAAGACCTCTCGTCTTGGATTTCACGGATGGTTACATCGACATTTTCCTGTCTCAAAGTGTGATGGACAAAGTCATAGTATGTAGACTCTGGGATTGGAGCTTCTCCTGGACTAGCTGAGTGATCTCTAGGATGAGAAATGTGTTCCTTCTCTTCTGTTCTGTTGACAACTGCAGTGACTACACTTTCCACCTGGTCAATGGTGAGGATGCCAGATTTATAGAGTTGTAAGAGCTCCTTCTGCTTCTCCTCAGGGATGTACTTAGAGTGGAGAATTTCCCAGATTGAGACCTTCTGTCCATGGAGGTCCCCAGTTGTTACTTCTATCATCCGAGACTTCAATGCTTGCTCTTTTCCCCCAAATTCAGTACTGTTGCCATCCTCATTCTTTCCAGATGACATGATACCAGGAGGCATTGAGCCTGGTGCTGAACATTCTTTCCTTTCACCTACCACTTGAGTAATTAGGGCAGATAGGACTGCAGTGAGTTCCTCTGGAGTTAACTGACAAGCTCTATATATGCCTAGAAGTTCCTCTCTTTTTCCATCAGAAATGTATTGGGAGAAGAGGAGATCCCTGAGGGAGACCTCCTGGCCCTGGAACTCTCCAACGTGGAGGACAACGGTGTGGTTCTGCAAAGTGTCTTCCCATTGGCTCTCATGACTCTGGGTTGAACCTGACTCTTCTTTTCTCTTCTCCTCCTCTGTTCTGTTGACGATGGAGGTGACTACAGTTTCCATTTGGTCAGTGCTGAGAATGCCAGATTTGTAGAGTTTCAAGAGTTCCTTCCGCTTCTCCTCAGGGATGTACTTCGAGTGGAGGACCTCCCAGATGGAAACCTTCTGTCCATGGAACTCCCCAGCTGCTACTGTAACCAGACGGGACTTCAGGGTCTTCTCTTTCTCTCCCAGCTCCACAGGATCCTCATTGTCATCTTCTCCTTCCTCTTTGTCAAGGTCGTCGTCATCATCCTCACCACCGTGATCAGGACCCGATACTTCCTTTCTCTTCCCCTCTTTCTCTGTTCGGTTAACAATAGAAGTGACTATAGTTTCCATTTGGTCAATGGTGAGAATGCCGGATTTATAGTATCTCAAGAGCTCTTTCAGCTTCTCCTCAGGAATGTACTTGGAGTGGAGAATCTCCCAAATGGAAACCTTCCGTCCGTGGAATTCCCCAGCCGCTACTTCAACCAGACGAGACTTCAGGAGTTTCTCTTTCTCTCCCAGCATCACAGTATCCTCATCGTCATCTTCTCCCTCCTCTTTGTCAAGGTCATCATCATCTTCACCACCGTGATCAGCACCCGATTCTTCCTTTCTCTTCCCCTCTTTCTCTGTTCGGTTAACAATAGCAGTGACTATAGTTTCCATTTGGTCAATTGTGAGAATGCCAGATTTATAGTATCTCAAGAGCTCTTTCCGCTTCTCTTCGGGGATGTACTTGGAGTGGAGAATCTCCCAAACGGAAACCTTCCGTCCGTGGAATTCCCCAGCCGCTACCTCAACCAGCCGAGATTTCAGGGCCTTCTCTTTCTCTCCCAGCACCGCAGTATCCTCAAGGTCATCTTCTCCCTCCTCTTTGTCAAGGTCGTCATCGTCGTCATCATCACCGTGTTCCGCACCTCTGCCTGGACCCAAGACTTTAATATCAAATTTCCTTCTTGTGGCTTCTTTTTTCTTGACCAGGGCAATGAGGATGTTCACCAGCTGGTCTACAGGTATCAACCCTCTTTGGAACAAATCCAGTAACTCTGTCCTCTTTTCTTCTGATAGGTAGTTGGAGAAGAGCAGGTCCCACACAGCAACCACCTGACCCTGGTTCTCTCCAGCAGGCATTTCGATAGTGGCGGACTGCAAGATCTTCTGCCAGTTCTCTTCGACCCGTGTATCGTCTTTCGGGGATGTTACATCCAGCGTGCTTGGAACTTGCTGCTGCCTGGCTAACTCGATGCGCTTCTCCTCCGTCTCGGTGACAATGGTAGTGAGGATCTGGGTCAGGTCTTCCAAGGCAATGGTTCCTTGCTTGTACTGGCTGAGCAACTCCTGCCTCTTCTGGGGAGGAATGTATCTGGAGAAGAGGAGATCCCAGACAGAGACCTCCTGCCCCTGGAAGAGCTCCACATCCACTCTGGTCTTGGCAGTCTGCAAGGACCTCCTCGTTTTCTCTGTGAGATGGAAGGAGAAGGCGGACTTGTCCATCACGTGAAGCATCAGCAGGCCCGTCTCGGGATCGGGGAGACAGCGCTGCAGGAGCTGCATGTACGTCAAGTTTTCCTGAGTGTTGGGGTCAAAGAAGCCCTTGGTGTCATCGGTAGGGTCCGAGAGGATCCGGTTCATCTCCTCGTCAAAGTAGCCCCGCTGGTAGGCCACCTCCACAGGGAGGCGGTGGCTTTGCACAGGGTCAATGATGCCCCCGGTGGCAATCTGGGCCTCCAGAAGGCGGATGCCGTGGTCTTTGATAATGAGGCCCTTCTTCATGGCCTGGAAAAGGGAGATCTTGTTGCCTGTGTAGGGGTCTTTGTAGCCGGTCACGGCCCTCTCTGCGGAGAGGAGCTTCTCCCGCAACTCTGCGCCCACCAGCTCGGCAGAGACAGCTTCTTCAACGGAGAGTTTTCTGTTCTGTAGAGGGTCAGTGATGAACCCGGTGGCGGCCTGGGCCTCCAGTAGCACCAGGGCAGTGCCCGGCCTCAGAATGTTCTTCCACATGGCCTGGTAGATGGTCACCTTCTCCATCTTGGAGGGGTCAGACCTGGATGGGATGAGCACCCCAGCGATGCAGCTTCTGCCTTCCAGGTATCGTTTGACCGAATCCATGTTGGTGATGTCTTCCACGGTCTTGGTGCCCTGGGAGAGCTCAGACAGGGTATCCTGGTCAATGATCTGGGAGTCGAAGAGTTCTGAGGCTGACACTTGCCTCCGCAGCCCTGAGAACTTCAGCTGGTTGCTCTTCTTCTCCATCTCCTCAATCAAACTTTTGATGATTCTGACAAGTTCCTCAGAACTCATCAATCCTGCTTCATAGTTCTCCAGGAGCGCTTGCCGTTTCTTCTCGGTCACATATTTGGAGAAAAGGAGCTCCCACATGGAGCGCCTGCTCCCTTGGAACTCGCCCACCGGCACTTCCATGCTCACCAGACACAAGGCGCTTTTGAGGTCAACATCTTGTGTGGAACGTGGAGCTCTGCCTTCCTGAGGATGAGACCTCCCTCTTGTTGGACCGCCACCATCTTCAGCTTCATTAATATCACCTGACTTCTTCTGTGTGAGCAGCGGGGCCAAAAGAACAATAATCTCTTCAATGCTCAGAAGTCCATAATGGTATTTCATTAAGAGTTCCTCCCTTTGAGGTTCTGGAACATACTGTGAAAACAAGAGGTCCCAGAGGGAGACCTCCTTTTCCTGGAGCTCTCCAACATGCAGGACAACTGTGTGATTCCTCAAAGTGTCTTCCCAGTGGTCCTCATGACCGAGTCCTGCACCCGAGTCTTTCTTTTTCTTCTCTTCTTCTGTTCGGTTCACAATGGCAGTGACTATAGTTTCCATTTGCTCAATGGTGAGGATGCCGGATTTATAGTATCTCAAGAGCTCTTTCCGCTTCTCTTCAGGGATGTACTTGGAGTGGAGAATCTGCCAAACAGAAACCTTCCGTCCGTGGAATTCCCCAGCCTTTACTTCAACCAGCCGAGACTTCAGGATCTTCTCTTTCTCTCTCAGCATCACAGTATCCTCATCCTCATCTTCTCCCTCCTCTTTGTCAAGGTCGTCGTCGTCATCCTCATCACCATCATCATGATCTGCACCTCTGCCTGGACCCAAGACTTTTATATCAAATTTCCGTCTTGTGGCTTCTCCCTTCTTGACCAGGGCAATGAGGATGTTCACCAGCTGGTCTACAGGTATCAACCCCCTTTGGGACAAATCCAGTAACTCTGTCCTCTTTTCTTCTGATAGGTACTTGGAGAAGAGCAGGTCCCACACAGCAACCACCTGACCCTGGTTCTCTCCAGCAGGCATTTCGATAGTAGTGGACTGCAAGGTCTTCTGCCAGTTCCCTTCAACATCCCTGTCTTTTGGGGATGTTACATCTGATGTGCTGGGAGCTTGCTGCTGCCTGGCTAACTCGATGCGCTTCTCCTCCGTCTCGGTGACAATGGTAGTGAGGATCTGGGTCAGGTCTTCCAAGGCAATGGTTCCTTGCTTGTACTGGCTGAGCAACTCCTGCCTCTTCTGGGGAGGAATGTATCTGGAGAAGAGGAGATCCCAGACAGAGACCTCCTGCCCCTGGAAGAGCTCCACATCCACTCTGGTCTTGGCAGTCTGCAAGGACCTCCTCGTTTTCTCTGTGAGATGGAAGGAGAAGGCGGACTTGTCCATCACGTGAAGCATCAGCAGGCCCGTCTCGGGATCGGGGAGACAGCGCTGCAGGAGCTGCATGTACGTCAAGTTTTCCTGAGTGTTGGGGTCAAAGAAGCCCTTGGTGTCATCGGTAGGGTCCGAGAGGATCCGGTTCATCTCCTCGTCAAAGTAGCCCCGCTGGTAGGCCACCTCCACAGGGAGGCGGTGGCTTTGCACAGGGTCAATGATGCCCCCGGTGGCAATCTGGGCCTCCAGAAGGCGGATGCCGTGGTCTTTGATAATGAGGCCCTTCTTCATGGCCTGGAAAAGGGAGATCTTGTTGCCTGTGTAGGGGTCTTTGTAGCCGGTCACGGCCCTCTCTGCGGAGAGGAGCTTCTCCCGCAACTCTGCGCCCACCAGCTCGGCAGAGACAGCTTCTTCAACTGAGAGTTTTCTGTTCTGTAGAGGGTCAGTGATGAACCCGGTGGCGGCCTGGGCCTCCAGTAGCACCAGGGCAGTGCCCGGCCTCAGAATGTTCTTCCACATGGCCTGGTAGATGGTCACCTTCTCCATCTTGGAGGGGTCAGACCTGGATGGGACGAGTACCCCAGCGATGCAGCTTCTGCCTTCCAGGTATCGTTTGACCGAATCCATGTTGGTGATGTCTTCCACGGTCTTGGTGCCCTGGGAGAGCTCAGACAGGGTATCCTGGTCAATGATCTGGGAGTCGAAGAGTTCTGAGGCCGACACTTGCCTCCGCAGCCCGGAGAACTTCAGCTGGTTGCTCTTCTTCTCCATCTCCTCAATCAAACTTTTGATGATTCTGACAAGTTCCTCAGAACTCATCAATCCTGCTTCATAGTTCTCCAGGAGTGCTTGTCGTTTCTTCTCAGTCACATATTTGGAGAAAAGGAGCTCCCACATGGAGCGCCTGCTCCCTTGGAACTCGCCCACCGGCACTTCCATGCTCACCAGACACAAGGCGCTTTTGAGGTCAACATCTTGTGTGGAACGTGGAGCTCTGCTTTCCTGAGGATGAGACCTCCCTCTTGCTGGACTGCCACCATAATTGGCTTCTTTAACCTCACATGACTCCTTCTGTGTGAGCAGTGGGGCCAAAAGGACAATCATCTCTTCAATACTCAGGAGTCCATAATGGTATTTCATCAAGAGTTCCTCCCTTTGAGGTTCTGGAACATACTGTGAAAACAAGAGATCCCAAAGGGTGATCTCCTGACCCTGGAACTCTCCAACATGCAGGACAACGGTGTGATTCCTCAAAGCGTCTTCCCAGTGGTCCTCATGACCGTGTCCTGCACCCGATTCTTTCTTTCTCTTCTCTTCTTCTGTTCGGTTCACAATGGCAGTGACTATAGTTTCCATTTGCTCAATGGTGAGGACGCCGAATTTATAGTATCTCAAGAGCTCTTTCCGCTTCTCTTCAGGGATGTACTTGGAGTGGAGAATCTGCCAAATAGAAACCTTCTGACCATGGAACTCCCCAGCTGCTACTTCAACCAGACGAGACTTCAGAGCCTTCTCTTTTTCTCCAAGCACCACACTCTCTTTATCATCATCCTCTCCCTCTTTTTGGTCAAGGTCATCATCATCATCATCACGGTGAGCCGTATGCCTGGATGTTTCTGATGCTATGGGGTCCTTCGTCTTTCCAGCCTTAGCCTCGGTCAGGAGTGCATGAAGGACATTGGTCAGCTCCTCCAGGGTCAGGCTGCCGTTTCGGAACTGGTTCAGAAGCTCCTCCCGTCTAAATTCTGAGATATTCCCAGAAAAGAGAACCTCCCACAAAGTTGGCTGTTTTCTGTCAGCACTTTCTAGGTTTCTAGCCATTTTTGTAGTTTTCAATACGTTTTCCTTATTTTCCTTCTCTTTGATGGTGGATACGAGAATAGTTATAATTTCATGAATAGTGAGTGTTCCAGCTCTGAACTCTGTGAGTATTTCTTCCCTTTTCCTGTCAGTGACGTATCCGGAGAAGAGAAGGTCCCAAACAGAAGTCTCCTGTCCTTGGAAGCAGCCCTCACTAACTCTGGTGGTTGTTGACTTCAAAGTCTTCTTCACATGTTCATCCAAATAGAAGGCGCTGGAAGCATCGGGTTGGACTTGAAGCATCCTCAGTCCAGTGTCTGGGTCAAGAATACATCTCTTGAGCAGTTGCTTGTATGTCAGGTTCTCATGCGTGTTGGGATCAAAGAAGCCCTTGGTATCCTCGTTGGGGTCCAAGAGGATCTGGTTCATTTCCTCATCAAAGTAGCCCCGTTTGTAGGCCACCTCGACAGGGACACGGTGGCTGTTGACTGGGTCAATGATGCCCCCAGTAGCAATCTGGGCCTCCAGTAAGCGTATGCCGTGTTCTTTGAGGATGAGCTCTTTTTTCAAGGCCTGAAAGAGGGAGATCTTCTTCCCAGTGTTTGGATCTGTGTAGCCCGTGACGGCTTTCTCTGCAGCCAGGAGCTTGTGGAGGATCTCTGGCCCCACCAGCCCTGCAGCATCAGCTTCCTCCACAGAGAGCTTCCTGTTCGTCAGTGGGTCAGTGATGAACCCGGTGGCGGCCTGGGCCTCCAGCAGGACCAGCGCCGTGCCCGGCCTCAGGAGGCCCTTCCACATGGCCTGATAAATGGCCATCTTCTCCACCTTGGAGGGGTCAGCCCTGGACGGGACCAGCACGCCGGCAATGCAACCTGTGCCTTCCAAGTATTGCTTCACGGACTCTATCTTGGCCACATCTTGCGCCGACTGCTTCCCTTCTTCCAGGTTCTTCATGGTGTCCACCCCAATGATGTCGGCCTTCAATAATTCTGAAGCCGTGACTTGTTTCCGTAGCCCTTGGAACCAGATGTCTCTTCTGTTTGCTTCTTTTTCTTTTATTATGTTCATGATCTCATTCACAATGTGTTGCAGAATGGCCGAGGACTCGGACTTGTACTTTTTGATCAGCTCCTTCCTCTTCTCTTCGTTAACGTAGTCTGAGGAAAGAAGCTCCCACAGAGAGACGCTCTGACCTTTGTATTTCCCAAGGGTTACGTTGACTTTGGTGGACGAGAGAATGTTTTTCGTAACCTCATCCACATAGAAATATTCCTTCTTGTCCAGCAGCTGGAGGAGGTACATGCCTGTCTCTGGGTCTCGGACACACCTGGGAAGCAGTTGTGTGTAGGAGATCTTCTCCTGAGTATTGGGGTCCACAAAGCCTTTGGCAGCATGCTCTGCATCAGAAAGCAAGAGGAAGGTGTTGTCATCCAAATGGCCCCGCTTGTAGGCCACCTCCACTGGGATGCGGTGGCTGTGGAAGGGGTCAACGATGCCACCCGTGGCCATCTGGGCCTCCAGGAGCCTGAGAGCAAGGCCTCTGTCAACAAGGTTTCTCTTCATGGCCTGGTAGAGAGATGCTTTCTCCCCCATGGAAGGGTCCGGATAGCCAGTGACAGCCCTCTCTGCCAGAAGAAGCTGCTGGTGGACCTCCTTGCCCACCAGCCCTGCAGAGATGGCCTGCTCCACAGACAAGGATTTCTTCTTCACCGGGTCAACAATGAATCCAGTGGCTGCCTGGGCTTCCAAGAGCATCAGAGCGTTTTCTGGTGAGAGAAGTCCCCTCTTCATGGCTTCATAGATGCTCATCTTCTGCCTGCTGGTTCCCACTAAGACGCCAGCAATGCAGCCAGTTCCCTCCAGGAAACGTTTCACATAGTCCTTCTGGGCAAGTTGTTGGAAGCTGCTCCGATTAAGACCGTCCAGAGTTTTCTTGTCAATGATCTCAGCATTGAACAGATCTGCAGCCGACACCTCCTGCCTGAGTCCTTCCAGGCAAAAAGCCTGAGCTTTCCTCTCTGTTTCCTTAACAACAGCAGTAATTGCATTCCCAAGCTGTTCTAGGGTCAGTCTCTTATCCTTATACTGACTCACCAACTCTTTCCTTTTCTCCTCATGGATGTATGGAGAGCACAGGAGGTCCCACATGGAGACAGCCTGGCCTTTGTACCTGCCCAGGTGCATCTCCATAGGCTGTGATTTCAGAAACTGTTTGGTGGCCTCATCAATGTAGAAGTATCTTCCGCCTCTTCGGACTACTTGCAGCATATATAGCCCTGTCTCTGGGTCTTTGACGCATCGTTCCAGCAGCTGCAGGTAAGTGAGGTTCTCGTGTGTGTTGGGATCAAAAAAGCCCTTTGTGTCGTCTGTGGGATCTAAGAGGATTCGGTTGAGTTCTTCGTCAAAGTAGCCTCGCCTGTAGGCCACTTCCACGGGGATGCGGTGGCTGTGGACGGGATCAATGATGCCCCCGGTGGCAATCTGGGCCTCAAGCAGGCGTATGCCGTGGCTTCTCACAATCAGCTCCTGGTTCATGGCCTCAAAGAGGGAAATCCTCTCCTTGGTGTAGGGGTCTGTGTACCCCGTCACTGCCTTCTCTGCGCTCAGCAGCTTTTCATAGACCTCTCTTCCAATCAGCCCTGAAGACAGGGCCTCGTCGACCGACAGCTTCTTGTTCTTCACAGGGTCAAGGAGGAACCCCGTGGCCGCTTGGGCCTCCAGCAGCACCAGAGCGGCTCCTGGCCGGAGCAGACCCTGCCTCATGGCCCGGCAGATGCTCATCCTTTCCTGGCTGGGCTGAAGAAGGACTCCGGCGATGAAGTTCCCTCCCTCCAGGTACTGCCGGACAGAGTCCATCTCGGTGACTTCCTGGACCGTTTTCTTTCCCTGGCTCAGTTCGTCCAGAGTCCCCTTGTCTATGAGCTGCGACTGGAAGAGGTCGCTGGCGGAGACCTTCTTGCGCAGACCCTGGAAGGCGAACCGCTTGCCCTGACGCTCCGTCTCTGCAATGATCTTGGTAATGGCCGTTGCTATCTCCTGAAGCGCCTCAGCGTTCTCCTCCTTGAAGGTCAGCACCAGCTCTCTCCGCTTGGCATCGTCGATGTACTCAGAGTTGAGCAAGTCCCACAGAGAAACCTCTTGACCTTTGTACCGCCCAATGTTGACCCCGACCCTGAGAGATTTCAGGACCTCCATGGCATGCCTGTCCCCATAGAAAGCGGCCTCGTCAGAGAGGGGGAGTAGCAAGAGCCCCGTCTCAGCATCCCGGGTGCACCGGTCCTTCAGCTGCTGATAGGTCAGGCTCTCCTGCGTGTTTGGGTCAAAGAAGACACACGTGTCCTCGCCGTGCTGAGAAAGGACCTTGTGCATGTCTTCGTCATAGAAGCCATGTTTGTAGGCAGCGGGGAGGGGAAGGTGAAGGCCGTGAATGGGATCGATCACTCCTCCTGCCGCCAGCTGAGCCTCAAGCAAGGGGATGCCAGCGGTGGCAGCAATCAGTTCCTTCCTGATGGCTTGGCACACAGAGATTGGCTTTCCCGAGTAGGGGTCGGGGTAGCCCACCAGCGCTCTCTCAGCCTGTGACAGCCGCTCCACCAGTTCTTGGCCCACAAGGCCAGCCCGGACGGCCTCCGCAACGTCCAGCCTCCGGTTCCCGGCTGGGTCTGTGATGGAGCCTGTGGCTGCCTGCGCCTCCAGCAGCCTGGCCCCCGTGCCTGGCAGGAGGAGGCTCTTCTGCATGGCTTGGTAGATGCCCATCTTCTCTCCGGAGGACTGAAGAAGAACCCCAGCGATGGCCCCCGTCCCTCGCAGGTACTTCCTCACGCTCTCCATCTCGGAGACCTCTCTGGCCGTGGTCCTCCCCTGAGCCAGCTCGGCAAAGGTCTTCTCTGAAATGATGCCAGTGTCAAGCAGCCAGACCGCAGGCACGGCACCCCGCAGACCTTGGAAAGTGACCTGCGTTCGAGCCTTCATTTCCATTTCCCGGATGTGTTCCCGGACGAGAGAGACGAGCTGCTGGAGAGAAACCTCCTCAGATGTGTACTTCTCAAATAGTTCTCTTCTCTGCTCCTCGGTGAAATAGCCGGAGTGAAGGAGCTCCCAGAGGGAGAGGCCCCTGCCTTCCACGAGGGTGGCCCTGAAGAGCCGCTCGATCTGCTCCTCGGAGTAGACGGGAGAAGCTTCCTGCGACAGAGGCAACAGGTGAATGCCTGAGACATCATCCTTCTGGCACTGGTCCATCAGCTGGCCATAGGAGACACTTTCTTTCTTGTCAAGAGAGCTGAACAATTTGGTGTCACTGCTTGGGTCAGACAGTGCTTTGCAGAGGCCCTCATCCACGTAACCTTTCTTCTGGGCAAACTCTACTGGGACATAGTGGCCACTGTGGGGGTCAATGACACCGCCTGTAGACATCTGGGCGTCCATCAGTTGAATGGCCTGTTTGTCGGCCACAAGGCCCTTCTGCATGGCTTGGAAGAGGGAAATCCTTTTGCCGGTGAAAGGGTCCTTGTAGCCGGTGACGGCTTCTTCTGCACGTTGCAGCTTCTCATAAAGTTCAGGGCCAACAAGGCCTGCCTTCACGGCGTCGTCCAGGCGGAGCTTCTGATTGCTCACGGGGTCAATGATGAAGCCAGTGGCCGCCTGCGCCTCGAGCAAGGGCAGCGCCACCCCCGGCAAGACAATGTTCCTCTGGATAGCTTCATAGAGGCTCAACCTTTCGTTGGAAGGCTGCAGCACAATTCCCCCGATGCTGCCGGTGCCGTAGAGGTACTTCCTGACGGACTCCATGCGCAGCACCTCCTCGGGGCTCACGGCCCCGTCCAGCAGTTGTTCGAAGAGGGCCTTGTCAATGATGCCCGTCTCCACCAGATGGTAGGCCGTGACCTGGCCCCTTATGGCTGGGAACTTGATGCGGGCCCATTTCTTCATCTCCTCCTCAAGAAGGCGGTGGATTTGCTTGAGGCTGAGCTTCTGCAGGCGGTAGTGGTTGAATATCTCCCTCCTCTTTCCCTCAGTGAAGTACTCTGAGTTGAGCAGATCCCACAGCGAGACCCTTTGTCCCTGGAAGCGGCCGTGCTTGACAATGAGCCAGGAGGTCCTAAACCCTTGCTTGGTGGCCTCATCAATGAACTGGCGCCTCTTGCTGTTCAGCGGCAGGAGGCAGAGGCCGGTGGTGGGTTCCATAATGCACTTCTCCTTCAGCTGCAAGTAGGTCAGGTTCTCGTGAGTATTTGGGTCAAAGAAGCCCTTTGTGTCGTCACTGGGGTCGGAGAGGATCAGGTTCATCTTCTTGTCAAAGTACCCCCGCTTGTAGGCGGCCTCCACAGGCAGGCGGTGGCTGTTGACGGGGTCAATGATGCCTCCGGTGGCAATCTGGGCCTCTAGCAGGCGGATCGCGTGTTCCTTGACAATCAGATCCTTCCCCATGGCTTGGAAGAGAGAGATCTTGGACCCGGTGTAAGGGTCCCGGTAGCCAGTAACGGCTTTCTCGGCTGCCAGGAGCTTGTCGTAAACATCTGGCCCAATGACGTTGGCCTGCAGAGCCTCATTCACGGAGTATTTCTTGTTGGCGGCTGGATCAATGATGTGTCCCGTGGCAGCCTGGGCTTCCAGGAGGACGAGGGATGTCCCTGGCCGCAGAAGGCCTTTCCTCTTGGCCTGGTAGATGCCAATCCGCTCCTGGGAGTCCGGCAGGAGCAACCCGCTGATGCTTCCCGTCCCTTCCAAGTACTTCTTCACGGTGCTCATGTTCCCCACGTCTTTGGCCAACGTCTCTCCTTGGGTTAATTTCTCAAACAGATCCTTGTTGATGATTTCGGAGCTCAAGAGCTGAGCGGGGGTCACCTTGCTCCTCAGGCCTTCAAAAGTGATCCTGGGGTTGGCCGAAACCTGTCGGACCGTGTCACAGACCATGTCAGCGAATCTGTGGATGGAAAGCCCTCCAGAGTGGAACTGTTGGAGGAGAGCTCTCCTCTGCTCCTTTGTAAAGTAGTCGGAGAACAGAAGCTTCCAGAGAGAAGTAGGCTTGCCCCTGAACTTGCCCGAGGGCACAGGTACGATGGTGTTCCTCAGCAGGCTCTGTGTCCTGTGCTCAATGAAGGGGTGCTCCCTCCTGGGGTCACCATAAAGGGGGAAAAGGCAGAGCCCTGTGTCTGGATCCGTGACGCATCTCAAGAGCAGTTCTGCATAGGACAAGTTCCTCTTCAGGTTGGGGTCAAAGAAGCCACGGAGGTCGTCGTTGGGCTGGGAGAGGCGGCTGAGGGTGTCTTTGTCCAGATGACCTCTCTGGCAGGCCACCTCCACAGGGAGACGGTGGTGCGTGTGTGGGTCAACAATGCCACCGGTGGCAAGCTGGGCCTCCAGCAGGAACAGCCCCGGATCCCTGGGTACCAGACCCTTCTTCAGGGCTTGAAACAGCGAGAGCGTCTCCCCAGTGCAGGGATCTCGGTACCCAGTCACGGCTCTCTCGGCTGAAGACAGCTTCTCGTAGAGTTCTGGCCCCACCACTTCTGATCGGACGGCTTCGTCAAGGTCAAGCCTCTTGTTCCTCGCCGGGTCGATCAGGCCTCCTGTCGCGGCCTGAGCCTGAAGGAGGATCTCGGCTGTCCCTGGCATGAGGAGGTGCTCTGACAAAGCCTGGTACAGGCTCTTGCACTCACCCGTTTGCAGGACGGCAACGCCAGCGATGCTGTTTGTCCCCGAGAGGTACTGCTGCACCGCATCCATCTCTGCCACTTCCTGGGCGGTGAGCTCTCCGTGATGGAGGGCTCTGAATGTAGCTGAGTCAATGACCCCAGAGTCCAGGAGCTCATGGCTGCAGACGGCTCCTCGCAGTCCGGGGAAGGAGATCTTTAGGGGCAGCAGGAGCAGGCCTGTGTCTGGATCTGCAACGCACCTCTGCATCAGCTCTGCATAGGTGACGTTCTGGTTACTGTTGGGGTCCAGGTAGGTCTTGGCCTCCTCATTCCCCGGATCCGAGAGGAAGGTGTGCAGATCCTCCTCGAGGTAGCCATGGGCGTAGGCCTCCTGAAGAGAGACGCGCTGGTGCGTGACGGGGTCAATGATGCCTCCTGTGGCTATTTGGGCTTCCAGGAGGCGGAGGCCGTGCTCCTTCCCCAGCAGCTCTTTCTGGATGGCTTGGTAGAGGGAGATCTTCTCTTCCGTGTAGGGGTCTGGGAAGCCTGTCACGGCACGCTCTGCACACAGCAGCTTCTCCTTCTGCTCCAACCCCACGAGTCCCCGTGCCACGGCCTCCGCCACAGGAAGCGGCTCCTTCCTCTCGAGGTCAACAATTCCACCGGTGGCTGCTTGGGCCTCCAGGAGGGAGAGCGCAAGGTCAGGATGAAGCAGGTGCTCCCGGACGGCATCCGAGAGGCTCACCGCCTTGCCGGAGACCTCCAGGAACGCCCCTGCGATGCTCCGGGAGCACATTCCCGCCCCGGTTGCTTCTGTGGCGCGGCTGGGAGAGGAGCAGCTCCCTGGCATGGCTGCCAGCCCCACTTGCCTTGACGTCCTTCCTTCTTCCACCTGAAGAGGTGGGCCTTTGGTTCAGGGACTGGAGGCGTCTTTCTGCAAAGAGAATAAAAAGTAGTGTCAGCGAGAGGTGTTGCAATACACGGCTTGGTGAACATTTGTGGGAAGTGTCAAAGGAAACTCAGGTGAGGATGCCATGGAGGACACACCCCAAACATGGTCCCTAGGCTGACCTCTGTGTTCGTGCTACGGAACAGGGTGACGGGGGCAGAAGGCCCCAGAGGCCTATTAATTCTGTTGGGTAAACAGTAAGAGCACCTGGGACCAGGTAAGGTGCTTCCTTCTGCTCTATGCACTGGCCATCAGCCAAGCAAGTGGAGTCCTTGCACCAGAAGAAGAAGAAAGTGTTTGGACACCGCCAAAGCACACACAGCGTGTTTTCCTCCTGGGCATTTGCTTAAGCAGAGGAGCAACAAAGGACAGGAGGCAAGCCCAGGCATCCCTTCCTTGCCTGCCTGCCACCCTGCGCCTCTGTGCCCCACCACCCTCCCCTTCCCTCCCTGCCTCACCCTGTTCCCCTTGGTGACAGGTAATCCACAGAAAGATCTTTTGCTACACCTGGAATGCAGGAGGGGCCCAGGAGGAGGAGGGAGGGAGGGAGGGGGCCTGCAAAGAGCAATGCACTAGTACACACTTCCTGGTCCACAGGCACCAACAGGAGTGGGGGTGCCCCAGCGCAGACCCATAGCTGGGGGGGGGGGGCTTGAGGGGCTTCAGCCCCCCCCCCCAATTCTCAGGGTGGTCCGCAAGAAGGCCTTACTGGTACATTATTTAAACTGTTATGTTTATTCATATCATGATCTGATCACCATGCTCAATATATCCCATATGCATGGGGGTATTGGGATAATGATACAAAAGGTTTGCTAGGGTAGATCCTGAGCCCCCCTTGAATCAAACTCCCCGAATCAGAATCAAACTCAGTCCCCCCTGATCAAACTCAGCCCCCCCCCCGAATCAAACTCAGCTCACCCGAATCAAACTCAGACCAATGAATCAAACTCAGCCCCCCGAATCAAACTCGGCTTCCCTGAATCAAACTCAGCCCCCCCCCAAATCAAACCCAGCCCCCCTGAATCAAACTCACACCCCCGCCGAATCAAACTCAGTCCCCCCTGATCAAACTCAGCCCCCCCCCCGAATCAAACTCAGCTCACCCGAATCAAACTCAGACCAATGAATCAAACTCAGCCCCCCGAATCAAACTCGGCTTCCCTGAATCAAACTCAGCCCCCCCCCAAATCAAACCCAGCCCCCCTGAATCAAACTCACCCCGCCGAATCAAACTCAGTCCCCCCTGATCAAACTCAGCCCCCCCCCCGAATCAAACTCAGCTCACCCGAATCAAACTCAGACCAATGAATCAAACTCAGCCCCCCGAATCAAACTCGGCTTCCCTGAATCAAACTCAGCCCCCCAAATCAAACTCAGCCCCCCTGAATCAAACTCAGCCCCCCAAATCAAACTCAGCCCCCCTGAATCAAACTCAGCCCCCCTGAATCAAACTCGGCCTCCCCTGAATCAAACTCAGCCCCCCCCCCCCAAATCAAACTCATCCGCCCGTATCAAACTCAGCCCTCCGAATCAAACTCAGCCCCCCGAATCAAACTCAGCCCCCCTGAATCAAACTCAGCCCCCCCAAATCAAACTCAGCCCCGAATCAAACTCAGCCCCCCATCAAACTCCTCCCCGAATCAAACTCGCCCCCAATCAAACTCAGCCTCCCGAATCAAACTCACCCCCCTCCTAAACCCAGCCCCCCGAATCAAACTCCCGCCCGTATCAAACTCAGTCCCTGCGAATCAAACTCAGCCCCCTCGTCCCCTGAATCAAACCCCCCCCCCCCCCGAATCAAACTCAGCCGCCCGTATCAAACTCAGCCCCTCCGAATCAAACTCAACTCCCCCGAATCAAACTCAGCCCCCCTGAATCAAACTCGGCCACCCCTGAATCAAACTCGGTCCGCCTGAATCAAACTCGCCCCCCCGTATCAAACTCAGCTGCCCGTATCAAACTCAGTCCCTGCGAATCAAACTCAGCCCCCCCCAATCAAACTCAGCCCCCCCCAATCAAAATCTTAGCTACGGGCCTGCCCCAGCGTGACCCCATTTGCCCACCCCATGGAGCCCAGCGTCCTGTTCCAGAGAGAGACACCTACGTCAGGCCTTTTTGTTGGGTTTCACCCCTGACTGCACAAGTCTCCAGCTCTCAATGAGTAGTTAGCCGAGATAGATTCGAGCGAGGGGCTTATCTTAAGAAGGGGCTTAGGAGGGGGGTTGTCTTACTCATCTTTGCATGCCACTGTCTCCTCCCTTTTGCATTCTTAGCAATGTGATCTCTTCAGGGAAAACGTAAATTCCTCTTTAAGGGTATTTCTATTGCCCTGGCAAAGCCATATGGCCAGAGTTCACCATATTGGCCCCTCTTCTCCTTCTGTCTTTTCTAGAGTGAGGAGGCATCTTGCCATTGTTGTAGGTTTTGTGGGCTATATGGCCATGTTCTAGAAGCATTCTCTCCTGACCTTTCGCCTGCATCTATGGCAGGCATCCTCAGGAGTTGCAGTCCAAGAATAGGTAGTGAAGGGAGAAAGGAGATAAAGAAAAAGGGAAGGGAAGGAAGGAAAGAGGTAGAGAAGGAAGGAAGGAGAGAAGGAAAGGAAAAAGGGAAGAAAGGAGAGAAAGAAAGAAGGAGAGAAAGAGGGAAGGAGGGAGGGAAGGAAGGAAGGAAGGAGGGAGAGAAGGAAGGAAGGAGAGAAGGAAAGGAAAAAGGGAAGAAAGGGGAGAAAGAAAGAAGGAGAGAAAGAGGGAAGGAGGGAGGGAAGGAAGGAAGGAAGGAGGGAGAGAAGGAAGGAAGGAGAGAAGGAAAGGAAAAAGGGAAGAAAGGGGAGAAAGAAAGAAGGAGAGAAAGAGGGAAGGAGGGAGGGAAGGAAGGAAGGAAGGAGGGAGAGAAGGAAGGAAGGAGAGAAGGAAAGGAAAAAGGGAAGAAAGGGGAGAAAGAAAGAAGGAGAGAAAGAGGGAAGGAGGGAGGGAAGGAAGGAAGGAAGGAGGGAGAGAAGGAAGGAAGGAGAGAAGGAAAGGAAAAAGGGAAGAAAGGGGAGAAAGAAAGAAGGAGAGAAAGAGGGAGGGAAGGTTGGCCACAGAAATGCATGCTGGGTACAGCTAGTTTATCTATATAAATAAAAGTGTCATGTTTGCTTGTGGGATTAACATAACTCAAAAACCACTGGACGAATTGACACCAAATTTGGACACCTACTAACCCAAGGAGTGACCATCACTCAAAAAGTGACCATCACTCATTTGGGAGTTGTAGTTGCTGGGATTTATCATTCACCTACAATCAAAGAGCATTCTGAACCCCACAAACGACAGAATTGGGCCAAACTTGGCACACCGAACCATTATGACCAACAGAAAATACTTAAGGCCATCCAGTCCATCTCCCTTCACCGGGGCAAGGAAACGTAATCGAAGCCCTCCTGACAAAGAGCCATCCAGCCAGAGATATAGAGAGATAGATATGATTCACACACAGAGAGATATAGTATCATAGATTTGGAAGGGATCCCTGAAGAAGGACAATGATATGTTGCATGTTCCAGAGTGGGCAAACCAGACACTGTCCACATCAACACTGATAAAGAAATATTGTTTCCCACAAGCAGAAAGACATTGCACATATTAGAAACCAACACTTTCTCATTACTTTATTTTCCAGATCAACAGACTGGGCCACAGCAACACCTGGCAGGGGACGGCTAGTCTATATAACTAAAAATGTAATGTTCATTTGTGGGATTAACATAATTCAAAAACAACTGGATGAATTGACACCAAATTTGGACACTACACCCCTAACTGACCAACAAATGACCATCACTCATAAACCCCTCCAAAAAACAGTGGAAAGGACTTAAAATCCCCCAAAAGTAAATGACAATACAGCGCATGCGCAAAAATGACCACCCATCCCCATGCAAGGGAAACGAAAACAAACAGCCACCCCAGCTCTCTCTTGCCCATTCCTGTACTACAGACACATCAGAAGGTTGTGTCCCCTCGACAATGGCAGGAGGAGCGACGAGGAGACCTGAGGGCAACGTGGGGGCACTGACCGTGGAGCCCTCGCTCATGCACCTCTCCCAAGCACTGCCTTCAAGCCCAACTCTTTTCCGGCCTATGTCTCGAGGGAGGGAAGGAAGGAAGGAAGGAAGGAAGGAAGGAGGAAAAGAGGGAAATAGGGAAATTTATTTATTTTATTTACAGTATTTCTATACCGCTTTTCTCACCCCTAGGGAGACTCAAGGGAAAGAAGGAAGGAGAGAAGGGAAGAGGGAAGGAAGGAAGGAAGGAAGGAAGGAAGGAAGGAAGGAAGGAAGGAAGGAAGGAAGGAAGGAAGGAAGGAAGGAAGGAAGGAGAAGGAAGGAAGGAAGGAAGGAAGGAAGGAAGGAAGGAAGGAAGAAGAAGGAATGAATGAAAAGGATAGATAGAATGATAATAAGAAACCAAGGGAGGGCTAGGAAGAAGGAAAGGGGAAGGAGAAGGGAAGGAAGGAAGGAAGAGAAAGAAAGGAAGGAAGGAAGGAAGGAAGGAAGGAAGGAAGGAAGGAAGGAAGGAAGAAAAAGAGGAAGAAGGAGAAAGAAAAAAGAAAAGGAAAGAGGAGAGGAAGGAAGGAAGGAAAGAAGGAGAAAAAGAGGAAGGAGGGAGGAAGGAAGGAAGGAAGGAGAGAAGAAGGATGGAAAGAAGAGCAAGAAGGAAAGAAGAAAGGGGAGAAGGAAAGAAAAAGAGAAAGGGGGAAGGAAAGAGAGAGGAAGAAAGGAAGGAGAAGGAAAAGAAGGAAAAAAGAGGAAGGAAGAGGGAAGGAAGAAGGAAAGAAAGAAGGAAAGGAAGGGAGAAGAGAGAAAGAAAAAGAAAGAAGAAAGAAGGGAAAGGGAAAAGGAGAAAAAGAGGGAGAAGAAGGAGGAAAGAGGAAAGGAAAAGAAAGAGAGGAGGAGAGGAAAGAAGGAAAAGAAA